GGGAACTTCATCGTACTTTGCTTTGTTGCTATCAGCCTGTTGGATCATTGTTGTCGCGAGGGAAATTAAAAAGTAACACGGAGCGTCCATAATATGGTAAGAAGTCCAGTGCTGCCTACAACTGGCCCTAGAGCTATGCCGTCGTCAGCATCTCACTAGTGGCAATATCAAATCAGACTCAGCTATATACTTATCAGATTGTGGGGAGAAATCATCTGGATGATAGTCACGCGCAGGCAGCAGCTTCGCCATCAACAGTACGCCGTCTATTTTTAGTCCTCCTCACGACCAGAAAGCTGCCGGCCGGAAGAAGCTGAAGGATCCGCTGCGGAAGGATGATCCTCACATGGAGCTTTATCGTACCTCCATATCAGCGACTTGTTCTGATATTCTGCATTTGACTGTTATAGAGTCTGATTGTGCGATGCAGAAATTAATTCTGCAGTCTGGAGGTTCTTGCCATGGGAACCCTGAGTCCTCCCCGTGCTCATCAATCCCTCCACCCCAAATCATGGGGGGATGGTCTACTTTCAGCATGGCTTTGAGCAGCTTCACGGCTGCCAGTTCTCGTCGTTCTCTGAGTGTAGGAAGGGTCCATGTCGGTGACCCTGGCTAGGATTATAACCACAGGGATCAATATCCAATCTAATGGGAATTTTTCGGTAAGACGAAAATTGCCGGTTTAACACCGACCTTCAACGGGAAACCCAATAAAGGATTTGGGGAGGGGCACGGTGTTAACATTAGTGTTCCGGCTTCGTTGATATGATGAAGGGGAGGCGGGTGATCCAACGGGAAATATTGTTCAGTAGCCTATAACGTTATATTTGTATATTATAGTAGCGTTATTATGAAACGAGTTTGTACTGCAATTGCCAACACAAGAACTTTGGGACTTACCCATTCGACTTAACCAAATTTTCGACTGTACAACTCCAGTCTTTGTCAAGGAATGAGCAATCCACCTCTTCCATGACGTGTCTCCATGAGCATTGGAAAGATTGCAGAAAGTCTGTGGTGCCTCCCGTCTCGGTAGCGTTATATTTGTATTTCTATATTGTGTATATCTATATTCACGTAGTTCTGGATAGTGATCATACAGCACAACCTTCTAATAACTTTTTTGATGATGCTAATGCTTTACTGTAAATGTGTAGAAAAATCTCATGCCGAATGCTCTTAGTGAATATTAAGTAAGGCAATCTCGTTGTCAGCAACAGCAATACCTGCCTACCCAGCTTATTGTGCGATTTCTAGCTTACATTTCCCAAGTTTTCATGGCACTCTTCCTGTTTCATCTTTCTTGTCAGGAATTGTTGTAGGTATTCTGCGTTGTCCTGATTTTTACAAAAATCAATAAGAAACTGCATTAATCAATCTGAGAGGGCATTGACATTGATGACGAGGCACCGCCAAAGCAAAATTCTCCCATTAATATCTGAACAGCTCAAGGCCTTTCCTATTCACGTTAACAGACACATGCACAGGCCGTGTGTGAACTAGATAAATAATGCATGTCCTGAAGGAGCCACTACTGCAATTTTCCGGGGCAGAGTCCGCTTGAGATGGAATTGTTTGATTACCGAAAATAAAAGCCAATTTGGAGCCTTAGTTTTATGACTCGTTTAACTTCTTGCCCCTGTAGGCTGCCAGTAAAACTGATTGAATTAGCCGTGACGGTGACCATAAGTGCTGCTCGCAATCGGCTCATCGTTGATCCTGTTTACAGCCCGAACTTCGTACCTATAAACAATCCCTATATATACAGATAGGTGAAAACTTTGCTGCTAGACTTCGATGCATCATAGTTTCTACCAACCTTAGTTAGACTTGTATTAGTTAGATTTGTATTATGCTGTAGCCGCTACCAGCGTTGCTGCTGCCTGGCTACCACTTGTCTGTTGCATTCCCAATAAATGAAATGGAATGAAGTTAGACAAAAGCATTTCGTCTAAATGTGATCGTGGTGACAACATTTACAGTGATTACTTATGTCATGACAAAGACCTAAATCAGTAATCTAAATGCAAAATGTATATCAAGAATGGTTGCTCTTGAGCTATATGTAGACCACACAAACACACTTTTGTAATACTTGGATTCCAACTATAGATTGGCCATGGCCAATTTCTTCTGTTGATGTCACCGACTCATGGAATCAATAGATGGTTTGCCCCTCACAGCAGACACTCTTCTAGATAGGCGTAATGCAATTACCTAAAGACCATTTCTGCAATCGTAGACACTTGGCCGATACGGCACGCGGCGAAGTGCGACAAAGCAGGGAAATAGCTCAGATAACATCAAGCGTTTCGAAAGTGTCGTCGACCTCAGAAGTGTACATTAATGATATTGAACGCTCGCTTGGGGTGTCAGAGATCTTTACATGAGGAAATGATCTTGATCGTGGGTCAGACCGCGGTAAGGGAACATGTAATGACTAGGGCGTCAGGGCAGGGCTTGAATGACCGACAGAATTAGCGTGGTGACCCCATCCACAAAGTAGGCCGAGCCATGACGCTCCCAGTGCTGCCAGTGTAGTGTAGGACGTACGCTCGTGCCAAAACTACCACTATCCCCATTACCAATATCACTCCTTCTGCCATTTTTTTTTCGACAAGACATATTGGAAATACGTGCAATATAATGTTTCTCTAGAGTGCCGTGCCTTTTGTATCTAATGTACATTTGCAGGCAAGAAATAATTGATGTGTTACCTCTACTACGTAAATACCTCGGGATAGTTTTCAGTATTGTCTTTATCAATGCTCAGTGAAAAGCTACCCTACCGTGCGAGATTGATTTCAGCTTCTAACCAAAGAGATTCCAAAATTAAAAGAATATTTGCCCCCCAAGACGTATCTTTCTTTGCGTCATCAATCTTATTTACGTCCGCTTCCCTAACCCCAGGAGGGAACGCTTAATAGAAGAGCTATGATGTGATTTCCCTGCTAATTTCACGGTACCAACGACTTCCATCTATCTACGTTAACAGTTCGATGAGCCAAAATGTCTGTACATAGCATTGCCTATGGCTACATGTAGCATGCTAGCAGTTGGGTCCCAGGCTGGCAACTTTACTTAGATCATTCTGGATATGTTTTGTAGCTAAGCTTTGTCTCCTTTCTTCCGCTGTACAATAAGTCTGCAACTGTATTTGCCAAGAAATGTTTTACCCAAAGGCTGCCCTGGCTTGTAGCCAGTTTACCACTTAGGGAAGTGGCAAACACGTTGTTGATTCATTACTATAGACTTAACATCAAGAGCAAAATGACGAATTGCTTAATCAGACTTTTCTGATGCAAAACGTGAGTTTCCATGAACATAAAATCAGCTCAAACTACACATCAGATGACATGAATGGTTTTAATCGACGAAACCCGTGATGGATATAATAAGAAATCAATTTTTATTACCTCTAGAAAGTCACGAAAGAGTCAGGTGAAGCTAACTGATTCTGTTGAAGTGGTGAAGTCATCATGTGTCCAGCGATGCCCCGGCCTGGATACAAGTGTCAGCATCAACGCCATGAGACCACCTCACCGCAGCCAATATTGTGTAGAGAATTGGGTAATAAGATCAATAGGGTTAGGCTACAGGAGCAGTGCATCATCCGTGGGCAAAGTCATAAAACCGTCTGAGGTGTTCATCAGTACACTGCATGTTTTAATCTTGGGTTCAGGCGAGTCGATTGGTGACTTTATTATGGGCGGTTGTTCACGGGCATAGGTGGCCATCAATATGATACCGCAACTCTTTGTTTACTAGTAATATGCCAGAAAGGTGCACACTGTGTATGTGTAAAATTGAGTGTTTTTCGTACTGAGAGGTATCGGCAATAGTATTTATGGTATACATCCTATGTGCTGTAGTTGCCAAAAAGGAAACATACATAAATTGAAAAGCTGCCTGAAACAGCCTCGGTCGTCCTAAGTTTCACAGAGGTAATCCCCAAGCAGATCATACGGTGGCAAGGCAGTACCCATTGGTCGGGTGGGTCAGAGTAACCGGTAGCTAATGGACACTCCTCTGGCCAATGGAATACTGCCTTGCCACCGTATGATCTGCTTGGAGATTAAACAGAGGAACCATCTTGGATGTTTGTACAATATATCAGCCACTCATACCACGCTTTTTACAGAGTTTACGGTGATCAATATGTTGAATTGCCCGTAAACTCACCATCTCCTGCTGCCAGGCTACATTATGAGGATGATCCCATTACCCTATGAACTGTGAAGGGTCCAGGCGCGCTCCCACACGGGATTCAGTGGCCCTTACAAGCACCATACTTGCTATACAATGTTTCGCTAAGTGCCAGTTATAGCTTGTTAGTGTTCTCTCTGGATGTGAATCGTTGCAATGATCCCAGTTGCTGAAGGATTGGGATAAACTGTGTAAATATACTGGCCTGTCCAAATTTGTAAATATACTGGCCTGTCCAAAGTTATTTACTAGCCTCATAACAATTTCATTCACCCGGTGGTAAACTTTATCTTTCGTTTTTTTTTATTTTAATTCCAACATGTAATCACAAGACGTGGTAACGACACACTCAAGTTTCTTCAACTTATATTAATGCCGCCACCAACACAGGGGACAAATACATGACAGGACAATACTCATTTACACCTGAGCGAAGTGAGGAAAGTCGTGTAAAGTGCCTTTCCCAAGGGCACAAGATCGGTGGCATGTCAGGACTCGAACCCGGGACTCTAAGTTCCGAGTCGCGCACTCTGCCGCTACGCCACACGACCCCACCAGATCTTTCGTTAATTGGCTGTTCCAATAAGAGTGGGTTTTATCTCTACAAGAAGAAGCCCATTGGATACAGGAGTTCTCATTTACACAACCAATAATCTCACCTAGAGTGCTGACCTTCCTCAGAGCTTCTGACTGGAGTTCTGCTTCTCGCCGCTATATGTAGCCGATGTAGGTGATGAAACTATTTTCGGAAGTAAGAAGCTCATTGTATCGTATGTTTCTGTTGTTTATTTCAGCATTCGAAGAAGCCCAAGAAGTACCCAGTTCTGGTGTTTGTTCACGGCGGGGATTACATGTTCGGGACGGGCTCGGCTTACGACGGGAGTCTGCTGGCAGCAACACAGAACATCGTGGTGGTCACCATCAACTACAGACTCGGGGTCTTAGGTAACGTCTGCCTATGCTTTTTTTTCTTTTAATTCTGCAGAATAGCTTTCTTGAAAATATATTTAGAATAGTTACAATACAATAACAGCCGCAATACATACCAAACAAGGTCTTCTCGAGTTGATAAAAGGGGATTCTGCAGCTGTGCTTCATACGAAAATGTTTTCTTTCATTGGGGAGCACAATGGTTAACAGCGCTCTGGTCGTAGATTTGTGATGAGTAGGGTCCTACCTGTTTGTCACGCCGTTGTTGGAAGGTAATTCGTATGCTCCAGGTGACTCCATGGAACAAGTCTTAGAGCTTAACGATTTATCGCCTGTTGCCAGTGTTGGCGCGTGAGGATTTCGTGAACATCACAAATTGCGCCGCTGAAACTTACAAACGATGGCACACAGTCAACAGAAACATACGTGTTACTTATTTAGGCAGGTGACTGCTTCTCGTGTTGGTAAGGCTATCCGGTGAAGAATAGTGTTGTTCATCCGCGCTCTTCGTCTCTGCCGTCCCCCTTGACATGTTGTCGTTACTTCGATTGGGGCACTGTTTTGATATATACTTACATATCGACTAACTGTCCAAGTAACGTTTGCCAATTAAGTGCTTGATAAAAAGCACAACAGGACTTCACATTACAACAGGGTATTCTTTAGGAGACGAAATAAAAACAAAGTTTGATAGATACGTAAAATGGTCAGAAATTATACAGTTTTTTTATCTTTTCAATGTTTTCTTTAGAATAACAAATATCTTTAATTCACAATTTTCTATTTTCCACCCATACCCGTCTAATAACACATAAGAAAAAAAGTCCTGCTCTAAGATTGCAACTTCTAAAGATAGCATCGACGCTGTAGCTACGGTCTTACTCCCAACCCTCCCACCCGGGAGCACAGTGGCTCCAACTCGGCGTGTCTCTCCATCCCTGTCGGTCGGGGTTCACAGGCGCTCCCCGTCTGGTATAACAGACCAATTAGGCTGCATTCATCAGGTCAAATCGACCGGCTGCCAGCAGGATTAACCTGTACTATCACCTGTGGGGTTTCCAAACTTGGCCGTTTCTCTCATTCTCAACATGTGCATATATAGATCTAGACAACATCAATAGAAAGACGTTTTGTTTTATGCAAATAACGGGCGTTTTTTCCACTTTTTATATATTAGCCCGTACAGCCATGCTTTGCCATGTCATTAGTAGTGCGCTATTTTCTCATGATTGCCTGGCGTCGTTACGATCTTAGGTTGTAAAAGATAACATCGCAGCCATAACCTACCTGTCTCATCAAGGTTTTTATGACAAGAATAATGAGAACTTATGAAATGAGTTGCCTCGCATCAAATCTCATTTGAACCATTGACATTTACCAGCTTGTTAGTGTGCATACGTTCTGAAATGAAAGTCAATGTTTGAGGTCAAATAACATTTTCCCATGCCACTTCTTGTGAAGTTTCTTGACTGTGCAGATTGGTAGCTAGCAGAGGCAAACACTTCCACGCGTATTGGTGTGTCCAACATGGTGGAAAAAGAGTACACACAGCTCAAGCAGGTGTTGGAATCGCAATGATCGTTAAGATTTTATAGCCATTGGAATGAAATACTATGGAGCACAAAAGATGCCCCCCAAGCCCCAACAGTAATCAGCATGTGGATCTATTGTACATAAAGCCCCGTAATGTCAGTAATCCACTTCCATCAGGATAGCCATGTATTTACATGACCCAGATTCTCTTAGTCTTCGTCTGGAAATAAAATTCTAGCAAATGGCCATGTAAGAGCTCAACGGGCCAGGAGACCCAAGACCAGACGTTTGTTGAACGGATTTTTGCCATTTTTGTTTCCTTTAGCCCATATAAAGGTAAGGGTAATTCTTTAATGGCAATTAATGCTAGAAAGAATACGTGAGTGAGGATATTAAAACACCAGTACCAGCGTTTTTAAGCCTTTTTATGACCTGTTGAGTCATAAAGAATCAGGAAAGAGTTTCAAAAGCTATTTCCGCGGACAAAGGAAATCGCTTACCGGCAAACTTTTGACTTTTGTGTCTAGTGACCTGAACAGAAGTGTGACGTCAGCAACGGGTCAAGTTCCCTACTGTTACAAGTTTCAAGGTTAAACTGGACTTAGTCAGAGGTGAACTTCATTGTATTGTGAGGTATCTGCACAACATCGCAGCCTCTCTTAAGAATTTATGAAACAGTTGGTGGGGCAGGGCTGGGTCGATGAATCTGCGCATCAGCTCCATCTCCTGATTGTATGATAAGACGTTATAGAGTCGTTTCGCCCTGTAATGAGCCAATTATAGGCCTCCTAATGGCTCTTCAACAAGCGAAATTGCTAATCAATACTTACAGCCTTTTACGGTCTGTATGTGTCTTCATCAGGTGACCTGGAGGCAGCTGGGACTTGTCAAAATTTTATATATCGCTAGTTTGCCTTTCAGGATATGAACTGAATAGATAAGTGCATAATAAATTCTAGAATCATTATTTGCCTACCTGAACTGACTATGGAGGCATAAATGTATTAGTATGATCCCTTACGTCATTGATCACCAAAGATTGGTTTACACAGAGCGATACATTCGGCACTTACTACTGTCAGAATCAGCGGTTAGGCACGGAAAGAACATCTGTAAACAACATCAATTGCTGTCAGAATACGTGCTCATACACGACAAATAAGCCATCTGTAAACAACATCAGTTACCTGGGTGTAATGGAGGAACGTATGAGAACAAATTACTCCATCGTGTGTCTTCTATTTCGTTCTTGTTTCTGTAATCAATTTCGACGACGTTCTTACTTTAATTAACATTCTGTTTTTCAGGACGGATGGCGATGTGGGTTTAATGAAGACACATCGCTTCCGTGAGAAGTCAAGATATATTTCCTGATCTAATTACGTTATATATGATTTAGACGGACGTATATGTATAATTCATAGATCATATGTTAGCCAAATGACCAAGCCAAAAGACAAGCAACTGGATATGGTTTTGGAAACGGTCAGACGTTTCAGGTAGCATCCACTACCTTTCGTCAGTGACACTAAGAAACTACAGGAGAAATGCAGGTTTATAAGCACGAACTATTGATTGATGTGCAAATAAGTGAAGACAATTTTTTTGAAGTCCAAAAGGAAACAAAAATCATGTCCAGCTGCTTGAGTAACTGTTTTTGGCGTATCTTATTACCTGGATGTCTGACCTTCACCGACGGACCACGGGTTTAGTTCGATAAAATAGAGACTTCCATAGATGGCCGCTGTCTACATTGTACTTCTTTTAGAAAGATGAACCTGCTGTTCCCCTGAGTACAATTACCCACTGTGCAGAACGCCTGCCTGTCAAACAACGTAAAAACCTGCTGCTTTCTACACGATTGATCACGTCCTATGAAAGAATCTGTAGAACAGAGACGACGTTTCACCAGCAGACTTTATGGACTTTCTGATGAAGCCATCTTTTTCTCCTTTATTCGCACTAATATTCACAAGTAGCTGATAGTGCTTGACAGGTGAGCAGTTGAGTGGGACAGCTTTGCTACAATGCTCTATCTACCAGATGTACTGGTGTACCAGATGTACCAGATGAGACATGGCTGTTGACATCAAGTCTAAAACTAAGTAAACTTAACAAGTCTAGAAAAAGTTCTTAAAGCTCCATGGAATTACTACATCTACGTGCTCTGTCCTTGCTTTTGAATAAGTGCTTTCAAGTTGGTCCAATTACAAACGTTCAAGACCCTAACCAGCAGCGTGTGTTGTACAGATACTGCTTCTGCTTTGTGAACTAGAGATCTTCTGGTGAAACCGCCAGACATTTTGGATCGATACCACCACGTAGAGAGCTGTTCTCTTTCCAAAAGGATTTCCAAAACCGTATTTCCTGGGCCAAATTGAACAGAACGTTTATGGAGGTATGAATTTTTTCTCATTCACGTTGGATGACTATGACTGACTGACGGTTTCTGAAGAGTATGACCTTCGGCGCTCCTCATGGCGCCCTCGTGATGGAGTAGAGTTCAGATTTACACTAAACTATTCAGCGGTACGAGAGCTTTAAAACGAGTATGTTATGATTACTTCTTTTCAAACACATCAGACATCGACAAAGGCCTTTCAAGGCCAGTTGTGTGCAGAGATAAACGTCCATCAGCAGTTACAGATGGCTTTTACCCTAGATGGTAAATTAGAGACTGGTTTAGCTTAAGACGTTTTGACATAGAACCTTGCTAACTACGGAGTAAAACAGGGCATAATTGGCCAGGCATAACCACGACAGTCGGTCTCCATCATAAATTAGCATATGGCAGATACAATTAGTGACTGATAAAAGATGAAGTCGGTATCAGTTATTCTACTTAGCGATGGCGGCAGAACGTCTTGAGTGTGATGAATATATATATATATTACTGACTGAATATGTATATAAAAATACCATGTGTCTATTACTGACTGATGTGAACAGACCTTTAAACTTTGCACTGTGTCAGATTTTCGATCTGATGTGATCGACAAAGAACTTTCTGGTTATCCAAAATTCAGGCCCTAGACTATTAGATGAATTTTATAAAATTTTATCACCATTCGTTCCTATATCTTATATTTCGCATCACGTTTTACAGTCTATTCTTTGATTACAATCTCCTCACGCACAAAGCTGCTATGCATGGTAATAATTGGATCTTCAAACTTTAATATTGTCTTCAGAGCACAAACTTTCTTTAACGTTGACTTACAGACTTTGGCTCCTGTCAGACATAATCATGGGCCTGATACGTTGTTGTTGACCCGAGCAATTCAAATGTCAAGTCTTTAAGTCCTGTGATTTCAGTCCGATCTCATTTCCCAGGTACCCTAAGCAGAACAATGAAAGGTTCACAGCCAGACGCTGATGGTCGATATTGAAGAGTTCTTCTAGAATAAGATTTCCGAGCTGGTGCGATCGAAGATGCTCATTGCTACTCTCCACCCGCCCCAGCTTGCGTGCCCAAGAGGCTT